GTCCCCTTAGCAGATAAACACCCCCAAAGCATTATGTTTTCACCTCCAGCGTTTTTCTGGTTTTTTTTGTTATTCTGTCTCTCACTGTTAAAATACACCTACCATTAAAATTATAGACTGATCAAAATCAGCAGGGGATCAAATACTTTTCTCCCTCACTGTAGATAGATAGAGTTGTAATCAAAATGATTCAAACCCCATTAAAAATCAGATTTATTGTCAAAATTTATAGACGTTTAGCTGTTTACTGTGAACAAATCAAACAAAAGCAAGTGAAATTGCTCAACACAATGGATGCTTCAAGTAAATTCCCCAAATTCAACTGAAATACAACTTATAATGACTTTGCAGTGTCAAAATTATTAAATTCCCTGAATAGAATCCCTTACAACAGCACAAATATGCAAAACAGGTGTTGTCTCAAGCACACCTGATGCAACTAATCAAGGGCTTCACTAGTTGCACCAGGTGTGCTTGAGCTGGAATACTTAAAATACCTGAAATGGCTAGGGGTTTGTTGAGTGTCATTTTCGACTGTGTGTTAGACATATGGCTAAGTCAAAATAATGGTCCACAAAGTTAAAAGAAGAGACCATTGCCCTACACAAACAAGGAACAGGATACAAAAATATAATTAAGGCATTAACTGTCCCTAGAGACACAGTTTAAAGCATAGTTGTAGGAACAGTTACACTACCTGGACAGGGAAGAAAAATGAAGCAATCAATGGCTGCCACCAGATTTCTGAGAAGGCAGGATGTGAAAAACCCTGCAGCAAGGTTTCAGTGAACATCAAGGTTTCAGTGAGCACAGTAAGGCATGTAAAAAAAACACAGAATGTTTTCATGCCAGAAATTTAAAGAAGGAGGTTGCAGCACACAAACCCCAAAATATTACTAAACTGGAGGTCATTGCTCATGAGCAATGGGCTAAGATTTCTCAGGATCGCTGCCAAAAGCTGGTATCTGGTTATGCATCTGGCAGGTCATAACACCAGAAGGGTGCTGTACTAAATACTAAAGATGTTTGCTGTGAAGGGGTTGAATAATGTTGAGACTGGAGAAGTCATAAATTGCATTTTCAGTTGCATTTGTGGAAACCACTTGAAGCATCCATTGTGTTGAGCTATTTTAATTGATTTTGTTTGGTTTGTTCATTGCAAATAGTTGAAAGTCTGTACATCTTGTCCCGGTCTTGCGCTTGCTGATGTCAGCAAGCAGGGTAAGCAATTTATTTTGATCCATTCGAAAATAAGGTTGACCCCTTTTCTTCTGGCAGTTTTTGTGTTATGTTTAAGGTTTTAGATAAGTTGTTCTCTTTGTACTGCACTAGTGGCAGTGCTCAGTTGGCAAGTTTACCCTTATCTTTGTCTTCCAGTTTCATTAAATTCTGTTTAGATGACATCTCAAAATATCAATGGGAATTTTCAGTGGATATATGTTAGTTGACACATATTGGTCCTACCTTATACATCTATAATAGCCTATAAAAACATCCCATTTCCTTTAAGTGTTGTATAGTTATTTTCATAACTATATGGTTATCGTAAGTTATCAACGTACGTTATGATATCTGAGTCTTATAGTCTTATCTCAGCAGTTCTGCTACAGAAAGATAATTCATGTACATTTCCCAGAAGAAACCAGGCTGTGCTCGAAATCATGGTCATAAAATAACAAATCTACAGTGTTAAATGAGAATCAAGATTTGCTGAGTCACATCCTAGTTTGGTGGCACCTCTCTTTAGAACCTGTACAGACAGGGAATTTGCAGCAAATGTGGGGACTGTAGTAACTTTTTAATTGATTGTTTATATGTAAATAAGAAAAGGCAACTCGAGCCCAGAGTGCCTTAGCGAATTAAAACCATAACAAAATCAAACTGCTACATATGAAAAAATCATATTCATTTAAAATTATAACTTATCTTAGAAAAATAGTCATCTACAGTTGAGTCTGTTGTGCAAAGAAGATATGGATGACATTTGTTTTTACACTATAAGTCCCTGGTTTTAAACTACTCCAACACATTTCCATATTAGCGGATTAAAATTCTACTAATAGAGATAAAAACAAATTTAAGGAAGCATATCCATCACAGAAAAATCCATTGATATAGAGGCAAACATTTTACAAATGATAACACATGGCGAGAAAGGCGGTTTCAGTACTGCTGTCAAGTAAATGTACAGTCTCTCCTGTTAATATAATCATTTTGACATCACAAAGACATTTTATAAGAGGTCCAACAATAAGCAATGTGAGTAAAGTATCCCATTGTATAATATATACATTTTTTCATGGTCCTCCTCTTTTTTTCTCTATTTGTTTATATGAGAACCAAATACAGGTGGTCCTCATTTTACGACCTACCTGCCTTACGACGGCTCGCACTTACCACCAGCTCACTCGTGGGGTAGTAAGTGCCAACCGTCATGGGAATTAGAGGGATAACCTGCTCTGCTGCGTTCTTTTATGTTCAGGGATATTTCCCCGAACATAGACGAACACAACAGAGCAGGGAATCCCTCTAATCTATGTTCGTGGAAATTTCCTTGAGCATAGATAAGAGCAGGGGTGGGCAATTTGCGGCCCTCCAGATATTTTAGACTACATCTTCCATAATGCTCTCAGGGCCATAATGCTAGCAAAGCATCAAGGGAGATGTAGTCCAAAACATCTGGAGGGCCGCATATTGCCCACCCCTGAATTAGAGGGATTCCCTGCTCTTGTGCGTTCGTCCATGTTCAGGGAAATGTCCCTGAACATAGACATGCGCACCAGAGCAGGGAATCCCTTATTCTATGTTCGGGGAAATTTAACCCGAACATAGATTAGAGGGATTTCCTGCTCTGTTACGTTCGTCTATGTTCAGGGACATTTTCCCGAACATAGAAGATCGCAGCAGAGCAGGGAATTCCTTAACTCCTCACTTATCAACCAATTCGTTCTACGACCGGGTCGTAGGAACAGAACCCGGTTGGTAACTGAGGAGTGTCTGTAAAAGGAAAAATGTTCCTATCAGTATACTGCACACTAAACTCATACTATTTATTTTATGTATATATTTTGCAGTACACTGATTGGCCCATTTGTGTGCCCTTTTGGTTTTTCTGAATCATATTCCTGAATTTGGATGAGCTGAATTGCCATATGGCCGAAATTCAGACATCCCCAAAACAAATTTATTTTTGGATAACGTGATTTGACCAAAAAAAAGTCTACTTCTTATTCATTATTAAGTATTTTATTTAGACAGCTGCAACGTTCCTGTACGTTTAGTTGTCTGGTTACAATTAAATGTCTGTTAGTCCACCCTTTGTACAGTTCTATGGAATCTGATGGCACTATATAAATAATAAAATAATAATAATAATAATCAGCACATGTTCCCCTCAATCACTTTGTGCTTCTCTGTTATAAACACACTATAGGCACTTCATCTCAATGAAATGGTCCGGGTGCCATCATCACCTGGTTTTACCCTTGCAATGTAAAATATTGCTATTCTACAGAAACAGCAATGTTTACAATGCATGTTTTAAATGCCTCCATTAATCTTGGCTTTTTCAATCAGATAGCCTCATATAAACCATTTGATTGGCACAGCATAGCATATTGCTGCGCACTCATTAGCCTCCCAATGCTTTGCTACGGAAAAGCATTGGATTGGCTGAGATTATCAAGATTGATGATCTCAGCCAAGGAGGCAGGGCAACATGTAGCGCAGCGTGGCTTTGGATAAAAGGTAGGTAAAATACCTTTTTAACCGTTATTTATTTTTTAAAACTGTGATCCCTGTGTATCTCTGATGCCCTAGTGTTCCTATAAGGATGAAGAGTTCATGTGTTTTAAGTTTTTTTTTTTTAAATAGATTTTTTTTTGTAATACTTTAAATTACATGGACATTGATGACCATATAGGGATGTTTTATTAATAATTTAATACTGTATTCCAAGAATATTGGAACATGTTAGCACTATATGTTATGGTAGAAAGGACACTGTCAGTACCCAATGCAGGGCACTGCATGAGCACTCAATGCACTGTTGAGGAGGAATGACATATTTATGGACCTCAGAAATGAGAAATCCAACATGGATAGTCACAAAAGTGAGAATTGTCAGGAATTCAACGTGAATTCAAAGTTAATTTTGAGTGTAGTTGACTTCCAAGTCATCTATTGTGACTAGTGATGTACCGAACGGTTCGCTGGCGAACGGTTCCTGGCGAACATAGCATGTTCGCGTTCGCCACGGCGGGCGAACATATGCGCGGTTCGACCCGCCCCCTATTCGTCATCATTGTGTAAACTTTGACCCTGTACCTCACAGTCAGCAGACACATTCCAGCCAATTAGCAGCACAGCCTCCCTAGCAGACCCTCCCACCTACTGGACAGCATCCATTTTAGATTCATTCTCAAGCTGCATGCTTAGTAAGAGGAGGGAAAGTGTAGCTGCTGTTCATAAGATAGGGAAAAGCATAGCTAGGTTAGGGATAAGGGTATGCTTTTTTTTTATTTATTTTTTCTATGTAATGTAAATGCACTTAGTTGTCTGCCACTGCTGCCAGCTTCTGTGTCAGGCTCACAGTGCCCATTTCCCCAGTCAGTGCCACCAATTACATCTGGTGTCACAATAGCTTGGATTTAAAAACAAAAAACTTTTTTCACTGTTATAGATTGAATAGCAGTCAGTTGTCTGCCACTGCTGCCAGCTTCTGTGTCAGGCTCACAGTGGATACTGTGCCCATTTCCCCAGTCAGTGCCACCACTTATATCTGGTGTCACAATAGCTTGCATTTAAAAAAAAAAACTTTTTTCACTGTTATAGATTGAATAGCAGTCAGTGTCCTTAAAGCGGTGTGTTACGCTAACAGTGGATACGCTGACAAGTGCCACTAATTAGATCTGGTGTCACAATAGCTTGGATTTTAAAAAAAAAAAACTTTTTTTCACTGTTATAGATTGAATAGCAGTCAGTGTCCTTAAAGCGGGTGTGTTACGCTAACAGTGGATACGCTGACAAGTGCCACTAATTAGATCCTGTGTCACAATAGCTTGGATTTAAAAACAAAAAACTTTTTTTACTGTTATAGATTGAATAGCAGTCAGTGTCCTTAAAGCGGGTGTGTTACGCTAACAGTGGATACGCTGACAAGTGCCACCAATTAGATCTGGTGACACAAAGCTTGGATTTAAAAAAACAAAACACTTTTTTCACTGTTATAGATTGAATAGCAGTCAGTGTCCTTAAAGCGGGTGTGTTACGCTAACAGTGGATACGCTGACCAGTGCCACTAATTAGATCTGGTGTCACAATAGTTTGGATTTAAAAAAAAAATAATCTTTTTCACTGTTATAGATTGAATAGCAGTCAGTGTCCTTAAAGCGGGTGTGTTACGCTAACAGTGGATACGGTGACCAGTGCCACCACTCACTGGTGTCATAATAGCTTGCATTTAAAAACAAAAAACTTTTTTCACTGTTATAGATTGAATAGCGGTCAGTGTCCTTAAAGCGGGTGTGTTACGCTAACAGTGGATACGGTGCCCAGTGCCACCACTTAGATCTGGTGACACAATAGCTTGGATTTAAAAACAAAAAACTTTTTTTGCTGTTATAGATTGAATAGCAGTCAGTGTCCTTAAAGCGGGTGTGTTACGCTAACAGTGGATACG